TTCTTTTTTGCTGCTGTATCGAAATAATTTCCCAGGTCTGGGATAAACACAGTATTTCTGTTCTATTCTATTCTATTCTATTCTATTCTATTCTATTCTATTCTATGTGGGACTGTCGGCTGACCTGCAGGCCGTGTGATCATCTGTCACACGTAGAATCGTACTTTTCTGCATCGGTGGAACTTTAAATGCTGCACATGTCATTTATGAATTCGCCTTCTGCTGCCTCTGATCTCAACAGTAAAGTATTTACAGTATTCATAGTATTTACATTATTCATAGTATTTACATTATTTATAGTACTTATAGTCTATTTTCTCAGTCTGGTGGACACGTGTGCTGCTCTTTTCGTAAATAAATCCAACGGTTGTTTCGTCTTTCTTCAGGTTTCTGAGGCGTCGTTCTGAAACCTGCCGAGTTCTCGACATACAAGCGGCTCATTGTTGGAGCAGCAGTGAGTGGACGTATCAGCTCTTCCTCCCTGAGCTCGCCTCCCTCTTCCTCCTCTTTATCTGCACTGACTCCCTCATCCTCCTCATCCTCCTCATCCTCCTCATCCTCATCCTCCTCCTCATCCTCCTCATCCTCCTCATCCTCATCCTCCTCATCCTCCTCATCCTCCTCCTCATCCTCCTCATCCTCCTCATCCTGCTGCCACCCAGAGACTCGCTGAACTCCGACATGACCGCCGGGAGAAACCGAACCGCTGCTCCACAAAACACAGCGTCCCATAAAACACCTTCACCCAACACACAAACGCTCCAGCAACGCTCCAGCAACGCCCTCACATTCCTTCGGCCTGTCGCTGATGACCGGATGTTGGCTGCGTTGGAGGTGTTCGTGGTTGTCGGGTCGCGGCGACATAAAGACGGAGCAGCACCAGACTTCCTGTGGCGGGTTTTGGTTCAATGTTCAGTCACGTCACGGAGAATATGGAGCAAAAAACCCACAGGAACAGGTGATAGTTTACTTTAAATAACTTCTACAGCACATTTAAAAAAGAAAGATTGAATCATATGAAGCTAAAAATAAAGTTTTAATTCATGTTAAATGTAAAAATCAGCTCCAGACTGTCCATAGCTTAAAAAGTCTGTATTTGTACATAAAATAATCGTTGTTTTACGTAGTTAGACGTTAAATTAAATTATTTTTACTGTATTTAAATAATGAAAAATATCATTTTACAGATATCTGAACAAAACAATCGTGTGTGTTAACATTTGAAAGTGGTAAATATTAAAAACTGAGCCGGAAAGTCTGATCAGAACCGACTTTACGGGCTCTCTGTGTAAGAAATAAAGAAATCGACCAGAAGAATAAAACAGGAGGAAGAACAACAAGTATGATCACCGTACTGAAGATAAACACAAACACTTCAGTAAAACTGATCCAGCTGCTGGAGGACAACAACGTTCAGATCAGCAGTCCCTCCATGTGACCAGAACCTCGTCTGGAGACGCCGAGCACTCTGACTTTAAGCTAGCGTAGCTGCTAACGTAGCTGCTAACGTAGCTGCTAACGCGTTCATCTCACGAGTCTGAAGTCGTCTCTGACACTCAAACCGATCAGGAAGAATCCTCGAAGCCATTTTTGTTGTTTTTTTCTCGGCTTTATTCTGAAAGTTCCTCGACTTCCGGCACCGAACTCGACCCGCAGCTTTGACAAAACCCACGAGTCAGAACTCGGCGGGAAACGCTGCGGCTGTTGGTAGCGATTCGTTTTACGGTTTGTACGACATTCGCAAAGAACTGCGTTAAAAATCCCAGTTGGAATGAACAGGAAGTGGACCGGGAAGCTGCCAGAACCAGAACCAGAACCATGTCTGGAAGGTTTGACAGCAGAACCTTCATTCAGCGTTAAATGAACGTTGTTTGTCTAAATCTGATGGTTGAATTCTTTTCAGCGCGGTTCTGACCTGATGCGGTACATATAAATGTGTGGTTCTGTTCCACCTGCAGCGTTTATATTCACCCATAAACCAGCTCAGAGAGTCGACCAGAACCCTCTGAGTCGGGTCTAGACCAGAACCAGGTCTCTGACCTGCTGCTGAATCTCCACAAAACCCAGAACGGACCTGAACCCACATCAGGATGTTCAGGACCAGGTTCTGCTTCACACCAGGAAGGATTTATAGTGTCTGAGCTGTGTGCTGGAGGCTCAGCTGCTGATTGGCTGATTGATGCCCTTTCAAAGTAACAGCTCATGGCTGTTGGTCAGGCTGGGTGAAGCATGCTGGCTTTTCAGAATAAAATGAGAGCGTGTGGTTCTAGCAGCACAGCGTTCTGGTTCCTACCTCTTGCCGGCGGAGGCCAGAGTCGTGACGGGGCTCCACGCCACGCACTCCAGCTGAGAGGTCATTTGATATAAATTGTCGGCGCTGTGGAGGAAGCAGACAAACGTAGAAGCTGGTGAGCTGTGAGCGGCCAGCGTGTCTGACATCACAGAACCTTTCATTAAACACAGCATCCCTCACGGCCATCAAACCGCCGCCGATGCCGGCGTGAACTCCCACCGCCGATTTATGGCCCGGCTGTCGGCCCGGTGCCTGGTACCTGCTCAGCGCCGGACTCACAGCCGTGATCCGTGACACCTTCACATAAATACGCCTGCTTCTCCTCCCTGCTGCTGATTAGGAACGTGTTCTGCCCAACATGCTCGCGCAGAACTTCATCGACAGCAGGAAGCAACGAAGCACGAGAAAATAAACCGTCAGACACAGAGAGGTGAAAACCCGAAGAAAAAATACAGAACAAATCAGACGGGCTGCAGAGGTTTGCTCATAAAGCACTGGATTGTCAAATAAAACGACAAAACTGAACTTAAATGCAGCAAAACTGTGATTTCAGTCACATATATGACGCCCAGCAGGGTCTGCAAAGTGTGAAAAAAAGGAATCTTGTTAAAAATCTTTAAAAATCAGCAGAAAAAGTGCCAAAAAAAACTGCATAAAAGACAGACGGGCTGCAGAGGTTTGCTCATAAAGCACTAGATGGAAGATTAATAAAGAAAATCTAATAATTAAGCAAAAAAAAAAAACAAACTTTAAATATGATATCAAATTAAAAGTCATTCTAACTGATATTACTGCAGTGTTTTGCTCTGTTATGGCAGTAATGAGTTTTATTTCTCCATAATTACAACAATAACACCAGTAAAGTCGTGTTTTTATGGTTTCATCTCCACTATATGAATTATTCTGGTATAATTACACCTTAAATAACAAAACTGGAGCAGTTTTTGTGATTTCAGTCACATATATGACGCCCAGCAGGGTTTAGTGTAAAAAAAAAAAAAAAGGAATCTTGTTGAAAAAAACTGCAAAAATCAGCAGAAAAAGTGACAAAAAAATACATAAAAAATGGTGGAATGTTGGAAAAACAGTAAAATAAATGTGTAAATTAATATTTATGCGTTTTTTTCTCCTGTCTCAGATTATAATCCTGCTTCCTGTCGTCTCGACTGTTTGTCTCCTTTTTGTTGCTCGATCTGGTTTAATTTGCTGAATTTGTTCTCTAGTTTGACTTTTTTTCCGTCTGTAGCGCTGAGATGTTTAAAAGGTCGCATTAAATTATCATTACTATGAGCAGCAGCAGCAGGAGGAGCTGCTTGGACGTTAATCGACGGGTTTCCAGACATAAATCCTGCTCCAGCAGGATCCAGCCGAGCTCCTCGAACCAAACAAACTAAACAAACGTTGTGGGTCGACAACAAAAGTCCGATTCCTGGTCAGGATCAGGACTCGGGTCGTGGGTTTGGTACAGAACGATTTATTTCCTCTCCTGCAGCTCCTCCAGTCGTCCTCACACGTCTTCATCTCCTCCATTAAAGAAAAGACAAAACTCACAGCAGCCCCTCAAACAACTGGAAACTGGAAAAAGTAATAATAAATAAAAATTTGTTAAATTATAA